CCAAGGAGAGATAATAGTAGTGCTGCCTAGAGGATCATGACGGAAAAAGACAAAAGCAAACATTCTCAAAAGATATGTAAGAAATAAAATCAGCACAACTCAAGGTCAGACTAGATGGTGAGAAGGAAGGAGAGGGAGGGGTCAAGGATAACTCTGAGGTTTCTGACTTGCACAACTTGGGGACAGTGTCATTCACTGAGAGAGGACACTGGAAGGGCACTAGGTGGGCAATGTACCAAGCAGGTGGGGTGGAGATCATGAGTTCAGTTTTGGACATAATAAGTTTGGGTTATCTTTGAGGGATTACAAGCAAACGTAGGGGAGGTCTGAGTTGAAGATATAGATTTGTGAGTTTGCCTACCGGTGGTAATTTAAACCAGAGTTACCTCTGAGACAGCCTAGGAAGAGAATACAGAAAGAGAAGTCCTAGGACCGTGTCTTGTGAAACTCCAACACTGAGTGGCCCACAAAAAGGACAATGAGTCCACTTAAAGGAAACAGAAAAGGAGGGGCCAAAAACACAGAGGAAAACATAAGGAGAAATATAATCTTCTTTCAATAAATACTTGTTAGATTAAGAATTAATTAATAAACGCATGTACTGGGCTCCACGACGTGTAGCTTGAACCACAAGACAGTTTCCATTTCTAGTTTTACTTTTTTTTTTTTTTACTTTTTATTTCTATTAAATTAAAAAAAATCCTAAGTCACAATCACTGACTGGGGGAAGGAACAAAGCATTGGGTGATGTGTCAGAGACGTTCAGATTAATAACTGGATCCAACCTTACAAAAGCATTTCTCCAAGAAGACTATGCCCAGCTCTCAGACAAATTCTAGGCTGCTGATCTAATCACACTAAAAGGTTAGAAGATTGGAAATTTCAATTTGAGGGGTAATAACAATCGGTTCTTAATATACTCTTTGGATATGCTTGCGTTGGAAGGTATTCTTCATATTTGGATGTAACATTTGTATGTTAAACTTGCCCAATAATATGTCATTGAACCCTTTGTCCAATAACTAATGAGGGCTAAAACAGGGTTTAGAAAAGTCAGATTTTTGGTCAGTGAACTGCATGAAATACAGTTTGGTCTTTCCAGAAAATCTGGTTATCTTATCTTCAACATTTAAACGGTTGATATTTTAGCTAGACATTAACATTATTGATATCACCTTTTAAAAGAAACTTGTTTGAACAACTTCTCCCTCAAATCCATTGTATTTCAGTGTGAAAGATATACTTCCCACCAATTCTTCGCACTGTATGCTAAAGAAACATCTTTCAATAGCCAAGATTTTATGATAGTCCCTGTTTTCAGTATTCCTTTAAAACCGAATCAAGATCAGAGGTTATGTTACTGACCACAGATGTCATGGAGAATGAAGCAATGAGTGACTGGGCATTAGGTATGATCTTATTTATTCACATAGCAGAATCATTCCTTGCAGTATATATATTAAAAAATTCAGTAATGATTCAAAGACAACTTCTGCAGTCTACAACCCAGCTCACTAAATGCTAACCCTTCTCTTTTCACTTAGGTTTTCACTGATCCACAAAAGAATTGGTCAAGACTTTTCCTTCAAATGATCCAGACACATAAAAAGAACTGTATGGAAGAAGTACTCAGCACGTAAGTGGTTTTGTGCAGCTACAAAGTGAAATATGCTATCAAGCACGCATATGTGAGAGTAACTGGTACTTCAACCTATGTCCAACAGAGAGATCTGTTAAGGGATATTGCCAAGAAGCTCCTGCTTTCTCCTTGATCAAAAATATTTCTCAATAATTATACGATTTCTTTTACAAGTTTGGTTTCTTGATAATTTGCTAAAAGAAATGTAATTTTGAATTGCTTCAATGGTTCTGTCCTCTGCTCTACCTTTAGTGACCAAATTCATCAGCATGTTAAAGATTATTTTGCAGATGTTCTGGAAAACTTAACTAGCTTACCAGAGAGGTCTCTGGGCTTTATCTGAAAACTCACTACAGTATAAATGGCTTAGGTCACCATTTGACAACGTTTTACACAACAGGTAACACACTAGACACTAGCAGTAAATGGATCATTCACTTAAGCCTAATTTCCAGATGTCGGTTACTGAAATTTTTTTACACTTGCCCTGCTTGTGCAAAATCACTGTCACAAGGATTTTCATTCTTTATAACTGGGATGCATGCAGCACTCCTCTTTATTATTTAATGAGTTGTAGTAGTCTTGTTTCTGTTTTCATTACAGGTTTTACTATTCAGCAGATCACTTCTGAACCTTTATTTTTGTGAATTTGAAATACAATGCAACACAGTAAAACAATAGAAAATGCAAATTAACAAGCAATACACAGTAGACAGATAAACTGCACCCTGGTGACTGCGATCTGAGACAAGCTAACACAAACTCTGTCATCTGTGTATAAACTAATGTGTCCAAGTTTCAAACTTGGTGGAATTTCAGAGGAAACGATAACTAATCTTACATTTCAAGTATGTGAACTAGGAATAAAATTGCTTCATCATTCTGCTTTTCCTCCAACAGTAACAGGTTGCTTAAAAGATCCCCAGGAATCACGAGTATAGTTCATAGACCCTAGCCTAAAAAACCACTAATATATGAGGTGGGAGTCATGCTCCAAAGAGGAAGAAGGAAATACAGCACGTATATCAAATAGCTCTTAAACTATGAAAACTTATTAAACTGGATTCCATTAATCTAAAATATGTAATACAAATAATAGGAGCATATTACGTAAAGAATGTTGAAGCCAAAGATGATTAACAATTCCAAAGACCAAACTGTCTTTAAGAACTTTGTATTTTAGAAGTTTGGAACAGTTGGGGTATCAAATTTAGATTACTTTTATCTACCATTGATGTTGACAAAGGAAAGTAATATTTCCTATAAATACGTTATACACAAAAGAGAGTAAAGGAGGGGAACCAGCTTAAATTCAGACCAAGTCCAGAACAAGATTTAACCGAACACTTTTGGGTTGAGATGAGATTAAAATGAATCCTTACTGTAAATGTATGTGCTGCCATTATCTGCCTTTTAACAAGCACACCTAAGACGTGGAGAGCCATTTTGCTATTTTTTACCTATAGGGCTTGACTGTCAATGCTAAGGAAAAAAAAATGATTACTTTTAATTCCGTTTTCTACATTTTCATTTTTTAGATATGACTGACTGGGAGATGCTCCCAGCATTCAATGCGTAAGGCCAAATGTTGAACGTTCTACAATGCACGAAAACTAAGCAAGCCTCGATCTGTTTTTTTCCAAACCTTTCAACAAAAAGCGTATCTATGAACACAAATAAAAATTATTTTGAAAACAACAAAATACACACAGTGTATTGGCTACATTTAGCAAATTTCAATCTTTCCTTTGCTTTTATTTTTACAGATTAAAGAAAACAAAATTGCCACCATTTTTTATATGCCTGTTTGGAAAAGCAACAATTTATCAGCAAGATTAGCAGAATTTATAATAGAAATTACATCAACAAGTATATTTTTTATCTGAATAACAGTCCACCTTCATGTCTGCATGTCCACATGTTTCAATAAGCGTGACTTTGGTTCTACAACCTTCTCTGGTCCCCCCGGGAAAGACAGAGTGGGGGTCACATTACTGTGCCTCCAACGAGCACAACAGGCCTGTACTAGTTCTAAATGTCACTTAAAACCACTTAATTTACCAGAGTAACCCACAGATTAACCTAGGAAAAGTGACAAGGCTAGGTGGGCCATGGACTGGGCCACTGGGCTGGTATGCAGTCTGCACTGTAAAAGGACTCCCAGGAGAAGGGCAGGCAAAAATTTGCCCCACTGTGGCTCTAGACCAGGAAAACACAGCATCTTTGGATAACTCGTCTGCCCAGGGAGGATGCCTTTTTATAACGCATACCACTAAATCATGATTTAGAAAGATGAAAGATGGGCGCTGGAAGTTTCTCCAAAAAAACATCCAATAAAGTATTATTACCTCATACTCAGAGAGAAAAAAAATCCAGCAAATCTTTCATGTTCTCACAGATGAGAAATACTAATGCTATGAAAAATTATATTGGTTGTCAAATTTAAAAGGAATCTCAGTAAGTACAAAGACAGATCTCTAAGTAGAAATATATAAAATAAACTGAGTTATCTGGCACTGAGACAAGTGGAAAGCCTTGATATCACAGGCCCAAATTTTTAATTTAATATTAAAATCACAGCAGGTGCAGTTAAACATACTATACTAAAATTTTCTTATAAAATTCTGTTTTAGAAATCCAGAGTTATTTACATCACACTTACATATGTGACCACGATCCCATTATATTCTAATAAAAATCATAATGTACTTTATATATTATATATAAGTATTATATAGTGAGCTATATACAAACATATATGACATAAATGTTAAAATATTTGCTTCATTTTTAAAGTACTAGTATGTGCATCTGAGAAAATTTTCCCACATAAATAACTAATGAAACAACATGAAACAGCTTTACCAGGTCAATCCCCATCCTAACTGCTTTTTTTGGTCCCTCTCCTGCTTTATATTTTCACCCTTTGAAGAAACGGTCGTATCTTTTATTGTAAGTTCGTTGAAAGACTAATTCTTGTGGAAGAAGGAAGAAAAGCGAGTGAAGCAATAAAAGGAAACCCACCTATGGACAACAGTATCTCATGAGTTGATTTTTAACGAAGCAGAGTCCTTACTACTTCAAAATATTTGATATGAAAAATTTTATTCTACTGAATTAAAGACCTAAGTTCCTCTGACACGGCACATGCATTTGAGTAGCAGATATTTTTCAAACACTTGATAAACATTTTTTAAATATTATTAAATGTAAATATTATGTTTTATATCAAATCTTTTCTTCATATATTGAGGAAATGTAGTATTGTACCTAACAGGAAGTTTAGAATAACTGAATTTACAGAGTATCATATATTAATAAACTCGTATTCTAATTACTTACTATTAAAATAATTAAATACCTTTTGTAGACTGGTAGGATTTAGCTGAGTTTTGTCTATTATTTTCACAGCAACCTAAAAAAAAGAGAATCATTAAAATATCTTTGAGAATACATATCTTAATGAATAAAATTTATAAGGAAAACATCTTTTGTTTCGTCCCTAACTAGATATAATTTAGCTGTATTTGGTGTTCACATAATTTGATGGTAAAGTTTTGATAATTAGGCAGCCTTAGAATATATTCTATTGACCCAAGTCTTTAACCTATTTGATTCTGAGTCAGTGAAATTACACCTTTGTTAAAGTCATTCCAGGTTTCCCCTTTTAAAGTAAAAGTCATCTGTATCTTCATCTTTTACTCATGATCTTGATAAGTTACAATTATCAGAGGGGAGAGGCTTATAAACTTTTAGTAAGTTAAGTATTATGTGGGTAGAGAGATTGGACACCCTAACTTCCTTACAGCAAACTAACAGAACGGATTTAAATGTCCTCTAAGTCTCTGTCTAATACAGCCTGTGTCCCAACAGCTCCTGCGGTCAAAATGGACAGAGAGGACTAAATTTAACCATATGTGACAATAATATTATGTATAGAACAAAATGGAAACTTAACAAAAACATTTTATGACAGATTTTTCATAATGTCCTAACTGGATCCAGTAAACATTATATAATATAGAGTGTTAGATGTTTAACTATTTTTAGTCTTTATTATATGTTATTAAATATATTAATTATTATTTTAAAAACAAATTTTGCTATATAAATACATCTGATTTGAAACACATGGGATTTTAGAAACCCGATTCTCTTATGATCTGAGAAAAACATCTGTATAACACTTGCTCAATGTGGTTTCTAAATAGATAAAAATTAGTGGGTGACTTTCTACACATTTATACCTAATTTACCTCAAGCAGTAATTTAAAAAAAAATTTTATTGAGGTAACAGTGGTTTATAACACTATATAAGTTTCACATGTACAACCTCATTTTCTGCTCCTGTATTCACTGCAGCGTAAGCAGTAATTAAGAAGAAGTTATCCTAGCCCTGTTCATGGGGTCAGGTAAAAATCAGAAAATTTTACAGAAGCCATATAATGAAAGACAGAAGTCTGAGAAGACCTCATCTGCAGCACATCTTATTTATGAGATGCTAATACATAAGGACAATTCTTCTGTGCCATGTATAGATAACTCTATCTACATACATTCCATTCACACATATCCCAGTGTTTACCATATTGCAACTGGTACTTATTCCCAGAATCAGCTGTAGGAAAGCTTTTGTAACTAGACTCTGCAGAGGTCTAAGTAAATATTAAAAGGAATCATGAAAACTTACCTCTCTACTAGTTAGAACATGTCTTGCCAATTTCACTTTGGCAAAATTTCCCTTCCCTATTGTTTTTTGTAAACGGTAATTTCCAATGTGAGGCTGTTCGTCTGCTGCTGACGTAATGGAGTTTCTACACCGAGGGATGTTCTGTCTGCTACTGGATTTGGTCGGCTGGATATGGGGTTCAGTATATCCATCCACAGAGGTATGCTGAGAAAAAGGTTACAAGGTTTCACGGTTAATTAAACTACATTATAAAAGGATAGTTTAAAAAACTACAAACAATTTTCATCAGTAATTCATCTCCAATGAAAATAGGTTGTACTGCACGATTTTAAAACATTTTGAGCATTCTGTTCATAATTTCTACTTGACTTTAGCTCCCTTTGCCAGTGGGAATATAACCATTTAAAATGAAATGTTCTGCATAGCTTTAGGTATATGCTTTTGATTTAAAACAAATACAACTGGTTAGATAGCCAGGAGCCCCAAAGACCATTACTCCTGAAAGGGTGTTACCCCTGTGGGTTGAGAGGACAACACAATCCAAGATTGCTTCATTAAAATGGCAGAACGTCTTCAATGCCAAGGCAAACAACCTCCTGAGTATGGCTCTGTTTCTCTAAACCAGCCCAAGTACTTGTCGGGTTCACTCTTTCATTTGCTGGGCATATAACTTGGCCAGTTGACCTAGCAGCTTCCCACTGTAGGTACACCTCTAATCAATTCCTGCCCAGTCCCCTCACCACCTCACCATGTCCAAGCAGGAGCTATCTACAGCCCCGCCTGAATCCATTACCTAACATCCACTGCATTCCTCTTCATTGCCCTTCTCAAGGCAGAGATGTCACTTTGTCTCCTAGTCTCACGCTAGCCCACAATCGCATTGAGTAGCTGACTCTGTTCCCCTGCAGGCTCAGCACCTCAAGTCCCAGGTAAAGCTGCCTAAGGAATCCTGCTTCCCAAGCTCTGATTGTTCCTGCTCTTGTCTAGTTTTGTCTGCATTCTGACATAAATAAAATTTCTCGCTCTTTTTGTGAAAACATAGAATGTAACATCTTTATCTAACTGGCATCTTAACAATAGATGAAGATGAGTAGAACAAATTAGCAAAAGAAGGGGATAATTTTTATTTGCAAAGTAACTAATTCAGACATACATTGTCCCACCTACACCACCAAAAGCTTGTCTAAAAAATTCTGATCAGAAATTTCTTAAAGGCAACTTCGAAGACGACTCCATTTACGAACCTCACACAAAGCATGACTCACGGTCGTTTCTCTACTTGTTATTACTTTCTGATTTTTTAAAAAACTCAGCTCAGGGTTAAAGGATTTTCTGTGTTTTACACACACTTGCAGCCTGCAGCCTCAGTCTGAGTTAGTGTCCTTCTGGTGTATTTCCACAGAAAACTGTACTTCCATGGATCTCAGCGTCCATTCCACTGCACTGTCATTACACATTCACTTCTTTGTCCCAGCCACCCTACCACAAGCAATCTGAGGGCAGGGACGTTTTCTTTTTACCTTTATATACTCACCACATTGCAGAGTGCCAGATACATAGGAAAGATTCAATAAATCAATAGTACTCAAAGTATTGTCCCTGGACCACTACCATCAGCATCCTCTGGGAACATGTTACAAATGCAAATTCTCTGACCCTATTCCACACCGACTGAATAAGAAACTCTGGCAGTGGAATCCAGCAATCAGTGTTTGAACAAGTCCTCCAGGTGATTCTGATGCAGGCCAAAGTTTGAAAACTACTGCAGTAAATAATGCAAGAAGGTGGTAAATACAAAGTTATTCATTGGCTCTCAGAGACTTTCCTATTATCCGGGCATAAACAAGAGATTTTAACTATAATCAATTTCTAACAGTTAACAGGTTGCTATAATATTTCCTACAAAAAATACTTCTCTACCTGAACTTGTTCTGTAAGGACTGTGGATTTGTCTAACACTCAAAATTTAATCTCCTTCTCAACAAACTTTCTATGCCTTTTCATAAAGCAGAGTTGATTACCCCTCTCTTCTGTTGCTATCTTTATATCTAGTAAAAACTTCTGTTACTGAACTATCACACCACCTTTTAAGTCCTGTCCATGGTCTGTTTTCACTGTTAGACCTAAAGCTCCTTAAACCCCAGAAGTTAATATGGTGTTAGGCACAAAAAAGACACTAAATACATACTAGTTAAGTTGAAGAAATTTAGGGTCCTTGTGCCCTGACACCTATACTCAGAATGACTTCTGAGGAATGATGATTCCTTGCTGTCCAGGTCTTTGATGCGTATAACAGCAGGATGAGTTAAAATATTTGAGTTGTAACCCAGCTCCCAATGCTGGTTGCAGAGTATATCCTCAAATAAACCAAACTATGACAGACTGAATTATTAGCTCCAAATTTTTTGCAACCTTTGCCAGGTAACTTTCCAATGTTCTCCCACTGAGGACAGGGTATGGTTCTCACTCTTTGGGCATCCAGTCATGTGATTCGCTTTGGCCAACAGAATGAGTTCAGAGTGGGGCTTCCCTGGTGGCGCAGTGGTTGAGGGTCTGCCTGCCGATGCAGGGGACACAGGTTCGTGCCCCGATCTGGAAAGATCCCACGTGCCATGGAGCGGCTGGGCCCGTGAGCCATGGCCACTGAGCCTGCGTGTCCGGAGCCTGTGCTCCGCAACGCGAGAGGCCACAACAGTGAGAGGCCCGCGTACCGAAAAAAAAAAAAAATATATATATATATATATATATATATATATATATATATGATTTCCTAACTTTCAACATTAAGCATGACCATTTTAAGAGCCAATCAACTTACAAAGAATGCATTTATATGAGTCTTAAATTAGAAATTAAAATAGAATATATAGCACATGTTTTATATTATATAATTCTAATTATAAAACACCCACCCAAACAAATATTCCTCCCCTCAAACCCTCATCTTTCCTTTGGACTGCCACGGCACCACTCAGGAGCAGAATCTTTCCTTGAAGAAACTTTGTGAAGGGTAATTTGGGATAACTGATCTCACCCCTTCCTGATCAATAGATTCTTTCTCAAATAGGAAACCTGGAAAAAATGTTTAATTTTTAAATGTTTAATGTTCATGGGCTGAATTTATAGTGTTAATAAGAACTATCTCAGCCCTAAGGCTGACAGATATAAGACATTATGTGAGCTCAATTATATAATATCTGTAAGTTTTAGTCTGCATCTTTAGCTGAAAATACAAATTCAGATCTTGTATTTTCTTTCTTCAAGTTGTCCACTCAATCCAGTAGACACTGAACTTCATTTTTCTGCAGCAGTGGCAACATGACCCTAAAGCTGGCCCTGAGTACATAGCATATTCAAAGTAATTACAGGTAATGGTTTCATTAGTTCTTCAAAGCTGCATCCCATGGATTACCAGACTTCAGTTCCTGAATAATACTAGAATTTTCCCTGCCTTCAATACCAACTGAAATGAAATAGCTACTCACTAGCCCTGCATCCTTGGGCAAGTTGTTTAACCTTTATGTGCCTGTTTCCTAATCTGTAAGAGGCAGCTAATAATAAAGCTTACCTCATAGTCATTCTGAGGATCAGATAAAATAATTTCTGTAAAGGTGTAAATAGTATGTAATAAGAACCATGTAAGTGTTTGTTAATTAAAACTACACTAAACAAATAAACAAAAATACCCCATTTCCTAGACCAGAACACTCATCCCAAATTTCTGCTATTTCTCTGAGTGTTTGCTGCCTGCAACCACTCCTGGTACGAATATCAGTCAGGTTTCTTGTCTGCAAGCAACAGAAAACAACTCAGGCTAAGTCAAATAGAAAAGAAAGTTTTGGAAGTCTACTCGTAGACGGAAAAAATCCTGAAGCATGAAACTTATATTATAGTGAAAGAAAACAAGACTATGCAAATAGCCAAAATAAAATAACTATACTTGGTAATAGGGGGCAAAAAGGAAATAAAATGAGATGATGTGACAGGAATGACTATGGAAGGAGTTGGGGTGAGTGATACCTAAGATAGAGTACATGGAATAAATGATGTTTGAGCTGGACCTGAAAGATGAAAAGGAGCTAGATAAACAGGGGAAGAGCAATCCAGACAGTGAAATGAATAAACAGAAAAATCCCAAGGTGAGATCATACTTTGTAAATTCAAAGAAGCAACGTACCTAATAAAATGGTACATTATATGGGACATCTTTTCAAAGGGCTACATCTTGAAAATTCAGATGTCCAACTGAATACTATTGGAATTCAAACTGTTTAAGTTACAGATATAAAGCCCTGTACATTTGACCATACAGAGTCAGATTTAAAAGGTAAGAGCAGGTGCAGCTTGCTTACTAATAGGTAATGAATGAATAAGTGAATGCATGAATGAATCAAATAACAAATAAATGATAAAAAAAGAAACCATTAAAGATAAGCCACATCTCTATCTCACAACCTAATTTCTTTCTAGGTAGTTCTTCTCTTTTGCCTGAATCAAACAATTGTTTAGATCAAAAGAAAATCTAGCTGGGACTAGGATTTCCATTTTCATAATTTTTTGCTAAATGAGAATGGCAATACCCTAGTTATCCAGAGGGAAAATGGTAAAAAAAAAAAATAAAAAAAAAAAAAGCTATCAATTACTGAAGGGTTACTGTGTGCTAAGAGCTGTATTAGATGTTTTACATGCATTACCTCTTCTAATCTTCACAACGGCTCTGTCAAGAAGCATACCATGATGACCTGTTTTATTTATTTATTTAATTTATTTATTTTTGGCTGTGTTGGGTCTTTGTTGCTGCACGCAGGCTTTTCTCTAGTTGTGGCGAGCGGGGGCTACTCTTCGTTGTGGTGCGTCGGCTTCTCATTGCGGTGGCTTCTCTTGTTGCGGAGCACGGGCCCTAGGCGCGAGGGCTTCAGTAGTTGTGGCACGTGGGCTCAGCTGCTCCATGGCATGTGGGATCTTCCTGGACCAGGGATCGAACCCTTGTCCCCTGCATTGGCAGGCGGATTTCTAACCACTGTGCCACCAGGGAAGTCCCTGATGACCTGTTTTAGAGATAGGGAAAATAGTGGCTCAGAGAGGTTATGTACCATTAGACCCTGACCCTTCTAGTTAATGCCAGGTTCTACATAAATATCAATTAAAGTGCATATATGTGTATGTTGGGGTGGGTTGTGATCCTTATGGAGCTTCTACCTTCA